TTTTGAGCGGATGAAATGCTGTTTATGCTCCTCCTGGACATTTTTTTACAAGGACCGTCGCAGGGTCGACACTGAAATCTCAATCCGTATTCCGTTTCTTTTTCGTATTCGGAAAAATTAGCCGGACATTCGAGAGTGCACATATCCAAAATGGGTCTGAACGGAAAGGGTGATGCGATGTCTCTTTTTTCAACGTCCAACGGTTTCGTCATGTTAAAACATTCCGATTCCGTGACGCATCTTCGATCCAAATACTAAACGGAGAGGAAGAGTGAGAAAGAGAAAGAGAGAGATAAAAAAAAGAAAAACTCGTTCGAAAACCCCCCCATTGGATCCCATCGTAACCTACCTTGTACATATTTTCCGGACATTCTTGCGTGCAATCGTTTTTGAAAACGACATTTTTGCAAACGTAGCAATCCTTTGATAATTTTCCACTGCAACCCCCCAAACAAGATTCGTGACAACATTCTCCGTTTTCATCTTTGACGCAATCACGAAAATCTATAAAAAAAATTAAAAATTAAAACCGGAAATGGATAAAACGTCCATCTATTCATCGAGACAAAGTAATTATAATGTAAAAACTTAAAGATGATAATTATTATCATGCGATTTGTCCATTTTCTCGAATAATCCAAAGCAGACACGCAAATCGTTAAGATTTTTTTATAATTAACAACAGCCACAACAAAAACAACAACAAACACAACAAAAGAAACGATAATGATAATAATAATAATTATAATATTTAGAAAAAATATAAACGAATTAAATTATTCCGAGTAATCATTTCCTTCTTGTTTTCCAGTCTTTAAACACAAAATTTTTTTCAATTTTTTTTTTTTTACACGTCACAGTCAATCAGGAGGTTGTTTCGTTGGTAATCGAATCGAAAATCGATTAATCGATCGAATCGAACAAATCTCTACATTAAATATATTTTTCAAACTTTTCATTTTTTGCATTAAAACATAAAAAAAAAAATAAAGAAAAAATTATTTATTTATTTATTTTTCTCGTTTTTTCAAAACGTTTCGGAAAAGCGGAAAACAAAACAATAAGAAAAGTTAGGAAATCGAAC